AAGTTCAAACGAAAGTTTAGATACTTAGGTTTCTAGACAAAGTCTTTGATGCCACGAAAGTGGATTAATTATACATTTATGTTTGAGTTCTAGATTGTTCTATAATCTGTCCTGAATAATTGTCTGGTTCTTGATCTCTGAATTCCTGCGAAATACCTAGACCTAGCGCTTTCTTTTACTGTCTTTAAACCGCTTTTATTTGCTATTTTCGATTTACATTACATTCAACAACTCATATCCTTGTCTTAGCTTAGTTTCATTCATTAAGATTTGCAGTGTAACACTTTGTCCTTGTGGATTCGATCCCTACTCTACTACAACATTTGCTGTGCACTTGCAGTAGTTCTATAGGGTTAAAACTCTGTGTATCAAGTTTTTGGCGCCGTTGCCAGAGACCAATAGTGTTACCTGTGAATCTAGGATTGAAGTCTAAGATTTACTAACTAGTTTCTTCTTTCACTCTTGTGGATTCAGGTGCATGCATAGAAGAAGTAAAGGTTCTGACAACCTCCTCCTTCTTTACAACCAGGAACTTGCAAGAGTTGAAAGGACAAACAACAAAGGAAGGAAAAAGAAGTCGAACCAAGTCACGATGGGTGATAATATCGACGACCAGGATCTACCGGAACGCCAAGCTAACCAGGCTACAAAGCTCCAGCGTATGCAACAGCAGCTGAACATGTTGCTACAGAAACAATAGCGGCATCAAGAGCAGCAAGCTATTGGGGATGTGGATACACCTCACACCTTCTACAGGAACAGAGCTGCTATCCGCATACCAGCTATTGAGAGAGTAGACTATGAGATAAAACCGCAGATGATTGCATTGGTGAAGCAGCATCTGTTCCATGGCCTCTCTGCTGAGCTTCCAATGGATCACATTGAGAATTTTGAGGAGATCTGCAGCACAACAAAATCGAATGGAGTACCTGCTGACTTTCTCAAATGCAAGCTTTTTCCATTCTCCTTGGCTGACAAGGCACATAGATGGCTTAAATCCCTTCCACCTGGATCTTTGACAAACTGGAGTGAATGCAGAGCAGCATTCCTGGACCACTTCTACACCAAGTACAAAACTTCTGCTTTGAGGAACAAGATCACCACCTTCTAGCAGTATTCAGGGGAATCTTTCTGTGAAGCATGGGAGAGGTTTAAGGAGTATCGCAGAGAGTGCTCTCACTATGGGTATTCAGATGAGCAGTTTCTTAGCATCTTCTATGATGGAGTAGAATGGGAGTTTAAAAACAATCTCAATGCTGCAAGCAATGGAGATTTCATGACCAGGAGTACACAGAAGGCATATGAGCTGATAGAGAACATGGCTGTAAGTTCTAATAATCGATGCCCTGAGTATGACAGGTCAAGAAGAGTTAGTAGTGTGGAATCTCAGAAGATAGATGAGCTGACTGCTCAAGTGAGTCTTTTGCTGAAGGCAACTCAGAAGGGAGGACAGAATTGTGAAAATGGATCTGATGCTTTTCTTTGTCAAGGGTTTGCAGAAGAAGAGAACAATGAGCTGCTGGAAGTAAGCTATGTCAATGGACAGGGTTTTTTGCAGAACAGTAGCTTCAACCAGAATTACAGAAACCATCCAAACTTATCCTACAGAAACACCAACGTGGAGAACCCTCAAGATCAGGTTTACCCACAGCAAGGAGGCAATCAGAGCCAAAAATACCAACCAAAACCGTTCATGCCAAGCACATGCATCACCAAAGCTTCTCAGAGGTTTTCAGGACAAACAGGTGTGCAAAACCCGGGGTTTCAGCAGAAATTTTCACAGGGGTTCGCCCCAAACCAAGGACAGAGAAAATTTCAAGGTGGATATCAGCAACAGCAGCCTTTCAACACCTTCTACGCAGCAGCATCCGCCCCATTTCATGCTCCATCAAATGGTTCTCAAGATGAACTGAAGGTCCTTATGCAGCAGCTTTTACTCAACCAACAAAAGTCTGCTAATGAGATCAATGTCAAAATGGATCACATGTACAATGATCTCAATAGCAAGTATGAAGCAGTGAGTGCTCATGTGAAGAAGTTAGATACTCAGGTTGCTCAGATTGCAGAAGCCAACAAGAGACAACCAGGAAATCTTCCTGGAAAGGTTGAGACAAACCCAAGAGAGCATTGCAATGCAGTAATTGGTAAAGAGATTTCACCAGAATCGATCGATCCGGGGTCTTAACCAGCCGGGTTGGTCGCGCAGAAATAAGGAAACTTCGAGTTTTTCCTATTCCAACTTGGTTTTCGATAATTTCTCACCCAATTCGTTCCTAGACCTTTAAATACTTGTTTTTCAGCCATTGTTTAGGCAATCCTCTTTTTTTATATTGATACTTTTAGGTTTTGTGTTTTGTGAGCTTGGGGAGAAGAATCTCTACATCTTTTAAGAAGATTTCTGAACCCTTTTGGATTTCTTATTTATTGATTATGAATTTCTCTTCCTCTCCTTGTTGTTTCTCTGCTTTCATGTCTGAGTAGTTTCATAGTTAGGTTTAGGGTTTTCAAAGGATTCATGAATCAATGAACTAGACATAAATAAGGTTATTCATCTGCTGTCTTCACCTATTGTTGTTCTCATTGCTTAGATTAATTTGATCACTTAATCTCTAATTTAGGGTTTAATCTATTCATGAAAGTGTTTTAAATTGCTTGATAGAACATAGGTGAGCAGATCGTCCTTAGCCAACGAAAGCTGATGTTAAGGCAATCTGTGAACAAATCGAACATGTTCATTAATGCTTGTTTAGAATTTTAAGTTCAAACGAAAGTTTAGATACTTAGGTTTCTAGACAAAGTCTTTGATGCCACGAAAGTGGATTAATTATACATTTATGTTTGAGTTCTAGATTGTTCTATAATCTGTCCTGAATAATTGTCCGGTTCTTGATCTCTGAATTCCTGCGAAATACCTAGACCTAGTGCTTTCTTTTACTGTCTTTAAACCGCTTTTATTTGCTATTTTCGTTTTACATTACATTCAACAACTCATATTCTTGTCTTAGCTTAGTTTCATTCATTAAAATTTGCAGTGTGACACTTGGTCCTTGTGGATTCGATCCCTACTCTACTACAACATTTGCTGTGCACTTGCAGTAGTTCTATAGGGTTAAAACTCTGTGTATCAGAGAGTTATACAGAAAGATGACCAGAATTGATGGGATCCTAAACATTCAAAATGAAATGATTAAATCATTTTATTTTCCATATCATATCGAATACAACTACGATCTATTCTAGAATGGCAATTCATCAAACAGCTGATCACCGCTATGCACTCAGAAATAACTTGCTACAGAAAGTATTTGATTTTCTTAAATCCTTTCAGTTTCCAAACTTAACTCTTTAATTGGGTTGTGTATTTATCTAAGAGAAATTCAATAAATTATCATAGAAATAAGTTTTGCTACTATACTAACATACACGGGAAAATACTTACACTCAGAACATTTTTTTCATCATTAACTGAAGTTAATGCCCTCGGTTATATAACATGTTGAATTCTATTAATTTCAAATTGTGATCTTCAAGCCGTCGTCGACGATTTTGAATTCGTCATTGACACTATTGCCTAGTTTTGGCCGACGATGATTCCATCATCACCATCATTTCATCATTTCTGATCATCATCGTCATCAATCATCACCGATCAACATCGTCATCAATCATCTCCGATCATCAATCGATCTACTCAAAGTCGTCAATCATCCTCTCCATTCATAGGTATTCTTCTTCTCTTAGCTTGATGACGATGTTTTAACAAGTTAATTTTTGGATGTTGTGGAGGTTCGTAAGAATGCTTTTGAATGTTTATCATTTTAATTGATTAAGTTAGTTGGCCATGAATACATTGAAAGTAGCACTGACGAACGAATTATTTTGTATTTTAATATTAAGTATTGTGTTTGAGATAAATAAGAGAATCGTAGTTCATGTTTACTCAATGATTGATATTTAATTGTTTAATATTGTTATTTAGACGATATCCAGACGTTTTAGAGAGACTTTATCAGTGTTTAGAAATGCGTTCCTAATTAACAACAAAGTAGTTCATGACAGAGAAATAGTTATTGCAAATATTCTTATTCACGAAGTCAAGTTAAAATAGTTCTTTTTGGCTGCTTTGTTTTTGCATAATTTTACACAAAATTATGAGTTGTGTTTTTCTTTTCGAATTCACATAGATATGGTGGAGATATTTGTTGTTTATGATGAGTGAAAATTTGAAGAGAATCATCAACGGGAGTTTGAAGTAGATATAAGCAAAAGAGGATCGTTTTCTGATGTAGATGGAGATACCATATATAAAGATCTTCTTCGGATTGCGAATTTGGGTATGAATGATGTTGAAATCCCACTTACCTACAAAGTTTCCCTTATGATGGAAAGCCTGGGACATGATATTCCACCTATGCAACTGCGTAATGATCGCCAAGTAAAATATTTCATCAATAATATGAAGAAAGTTTCAGAAATTGTTTGTTTGTATGTAACGATTAGGGGCCTAGCCAGTCAGATTGAATATTTTGGCATTAACAATCAATTGCAGTTCACACACAACCGTATGCAGCAGGTAAGCATATGTTTTACAGGTTTTTCATTCACACAAATATGATTTTACATGTTTTTTAACTTTCACTTTCTTAAAGGAGAGTGGTGTAGACAATCATTTTGTTTTTGAGAACTTTGGCAATAGCATTCAATCAAAGACATAAAACAAGTAAAAACAACAAGTAACAATGTTTACTTTAATTTTGAACCAGATTATTATACTTTATGAACCTCTTCATAACAACAGAAGTTACTTTCCTGAATATGCATTTTTCCTAGATTTTTCTATATATATATATATATATTTTAATTTCTATAACCTGTCTTAGGCTTGTGGTAGCAACAATCATTCAAATACCACGTACAACCAAAATGAACAGGTTATTGTTCTACTTATATCATTTTGATTCTCTGTTATCATATTTTTAGGAAGGGCTTACTAAAAATGCATTTATTTATGTTCTATTTCCAAATTTAATTGATGTAAATTGTCTTAGGCTAGTGGTATAAACAGTCATTCAATTATCACGTACAGCTAAATTGAACAGGTAAACTTTATGCTTATATGATTTTTGATTTTCGGTTATCATAATTTAAGAAGAGACTCCGAAACATACATAAGGGCTTCCAAAACATAGCCATTGTACAGGTCGATGATTGCGTTAAAGCAAGAGTCAAAGACAGAGTCCCTTCACCACTCTGCAAATATACAGAACATATTTAGGATCATCTGATATATGTTTCAAAAGATTTTCCTAAAATAGTAAAATACAATATTATAACAAGAATTCTTAAATTATGAGCAACATTTTTTTGTCACTAATTGGCTATGTTATTGTGCAGGGGGACGATTGCATCAAAACAGGAGTCAAAGACTGTGTGCCTTCACCACTCTGCGATAATACATAATATAGTTTATGAACATTTCATAGACGTTTCAGAAGATCTTTCTATGTTAAAATACAAAATTAAAGCAAGAAGTCTTACCTTCTAAGTAACATCTTCGTCATTAACTAGCTTTGTGGTAGTACAAGGGGGAAAACTGTGCCAAAATGGAAGCCGAAAGCTACGTGCATTTATTACTCTGTAATAAGACATGACATATTTTAGGAACATCTAATCAATATTTCTGAAGAGCCTACTAAGCTCTTAAAATAAAAAAGAACTTGCCTTCTGAGTAACATTTTCGTCACTAATTGGTTATGTTGTAGTACAGAGGGACGATTGCATTGAAATAGGAGTCAAAGTCTATGTGCCTTTACCACTCTGCAATAATACATAATGTATTTTGATATATTAAATAGATATTTCAGAAGATCTTCCTAAAATGTTTAAAATACAAAAAATCTTACCTTCTGAGTAACATCTTCGTCAATAACTGGCTCTATTGTAGTACAGGGGGGACGATTGCGCCAAAATAAGAGCAAAAGGCTGCGTGCTTTTACCACCCTGCAAAAATACAGAATGTATTTAGGAATATCTAATAAATGTTTCAGATGAGCTTCCTAAACTGTTAAAATACAAAATTAAATCAAGAAATCTTAGTGGTCAAAATAAATGTTTCGCAATGTTCTGCATGAGGCAATGGAGGCGCTGGAGGACGGATAAGCATCTCGTTGACACTCTCAGACTTCTTAGAGATTGAGTACTCCGCATAATTTTACTGAATTGAACCTATACATGTATGTCTTCCTTTCAATGTAGCAGGAAACCACTTGCCATCTGGACTGGATACCTCGATAATAGCACCATATGTTAAGTGAGGTTTAGGTCCCATGTCTATAACCGCCTCCATGGAAGTAGCCATTGGATACACAGGCGGGGTATATACTTGATAGTCTAACATTTGTGTTAGGAACATTTAACAGAGGTTTAGGAAGACATTACTAAAATATTAAAATTTAAAAGAAACGAGAAATCTAACAACATCCAGTCATTGGATCCCCTCATCCTTATTTATCTGTGTTGTTTCCATTTCTGCAGCTGCCTCCGTGGAAGTAGCCATTGGAGACACATGCACGGTATGTGCCTGAAATTCCAACATTTATGTAGGAACATTTAACAAAATTTCAGAAACATATTCCAAAAATATTAAAATTCAAAAGAAACCAGAAATCTAACAGCATGTTGCTAGAGTCGTTGGGTCCCCTCATCCTTATCCATCGGTGGTGGTTCCGTTTCTGTAGCTGCCTCCATGGAAGTAGCCATTGGAGCCACATGCAGTGTATGTACCTGAAAGTTCAACATTTATGTTAGGAACATTTAACAAAGGTTTAGAAACACATTCCTAAAATATTAAAATTCAAAAGAAACCAGATTGTCCTTACCTCATTACTAAATGTAAAAAGAAGTATTTTTAAAAAGTGTTTCCTTACCTCATCAATTTTTCCTTCGTCGTCTGGGTCCCTAAATTCTTCGAGGCCACCAGGTATCTTAGGAAGGACAAAAAAAAGACATGCCAATTTATTATCATAAAAAGATAGCATGACAATGTTTTAGGAAATCCTTTCTAAATTACTGACATATCTTCCAAAAACTAACTCTTCCTAAATTAAGCCAACACTCTGAATCCTAAATATTAGTAATGTAAATCAAGGCACTTACATCGCTTTCGTCTTCTATGCTCAAAACAACTTTAATAGAAGGAGATATTGTGTGAATATATTTTACACACAAAAAATCTGTTGGTGGGACTGTTTTGTCAATTGCAGAGAAAACCGATTGTAGCTTGGGTACGGATTCCAAGATCCATATATGAAGCGTAACAAGGAAACCGTTCATAGTGTACTTCACCTTTTGTAGATTAGTCGGCACATTCTTCTTCACAGATTCTAAAAACAGGTCGTATGCATTTATGCCTCAATGATGATTCAGCAATACTTTCATATCTTGCGCTTTCTCTAAATTTGATGTTGTGAACTTAGCCTTTAAATACCTATAAAGAAAAATGGTCTCGATAAGCAAAAACATTTCTAGACAGAATTTCACATCATGAGTGTCTGGACTAGCTTGGATCATGAGTTCGATTAGGTCCTCAGGTGTGTGCCCATCCTCCCATTCACCCCAATCATAGTTGTTTGCCTCTGCTTCAACCTTAGGGAACCATTCACTGTATTTTAACCCCATAACCATTTGAAATTCTCTTATAGAGAATCTCATAGGATGTCCTCCAAAATGAAACCAAAGCTCATTGTTCTTCTTGGTTGTTAGGCTCTTGGTCAGAATGGCGTGAATCATCTTCCCTGCCATATATAGTTTTCTTGAAGAGAACTTCAAAAATTGACCAAAAGAATCCTGAATTCTCTTAAACTGCATAGGCCCGAGAATTTCTTTGACCTGTTCAATGTATTTGTAATCTGAGTACTTATCTATGGACTTGAATCTATTTACTGGTTCCTTTCCCATTTCATAGACAAGTTTAGGCAATATGATGTCCATTATCAGCTGTTAAAAGTCAAGAAACAAAATGTCAGTGGATGCAAGAAACAAACTGCCTCACTTTTCTCATCTAAGGAATAAGTTAGAATGAACTTCCTAAACAGTTCGAATATTTTCGCAAATCCTTACTAAACGATACGAAAGCTTCTTTGAATTTTCAGAAGGGATCCTTTTCAGAAACCATTATAAACACTTCACTTTAAAGTTGTTTAAACCATCATATGATTATCTAAAAAAGAAAATGTCAAGAATGGTTGACAAATTGAAACATTATACAAACATTACAAATAGTCTAATAATAAAAATTAGGATGACTTTCACAAGTTAAAATTGAAGGTTTCCCCTAAAAAATATATGTTTAATCCCCATAATAGAAGCTAAAGCCTATCCTAAATCACTAAAAATGGTAAATCATGATCGAAAGAGGTCGATTTTATGATTATTAAATTTGTCGAGATGAGAGAAGTCTCGCGACGAGTATCTTACTGAATATTTGTTGTCGTCCTCGGCAATGTTGCCTTTCCTGTCACCGATGTCTCCTTCGCTGTTGTTGGGATTTTGGATTTTAAGAAATAGGTTAGATTTTAGGGTTTCATCTTCAATTTGTCGGAAACCGAGCGGTCATATTTTTTTGGGAGAAAAATGGTGAAACTAAATCCTAAGGGGCATTTTTCATCCTTAAATGATTTTTAGATTGATTATTTGTTTCTGTATCTATAAATAAATACTCTCTTAAATTTTACCAATTAAATAATTTAGCCATAATGGTTAGAGCTTTACTACATATTAGATAAGGTCACCAGTTCGACACGCCTAAAGTTCTTTTTTTTTGTTCTAATTTGTTTTTACTTTATGTTTAAGAAATACTTCCGAAAACGGTGAAACTGATTCCGAGATTTAAAATGTTCTCTTTTATAGAGATATTGAAACACTTTCTTACGCTTTCCAAGTAACTAACTCGGCCATGACGGTGAAAGCATTACTCCACAATAGAAAAAGTTACCAGTTCAATCCCCCGGTTCCACTTTATGTCTTTAATTTATTTTTGTTTTTGTTTTTAGAAAACCGTTCTGAAAATGGTGGAATAGATTCCTAAATTATGATAACCGTCCTAAACTATAATTTTTGGATTTGCTCTCATTGTTCAACTGTCTAGTGTGAAAAGCTCAAAGAACAGCAAAACAATTTCAAACACTATACCTGAAATAAAGCATTTATGAATCAATCCTGAAATGATTTTTAAATAGTTAGTTACATTTTCAATAAGGGGTTTATATTCTACAAACTCTCAAATCACCATTTCTAAACAGCCTATGATTTAACCACATAAATCAACCTACAGATCATTTGATTCTACTGCTGAATCGTAATCCTTTTCATGCTCCACCTTTACTCATCGTCCTCTAGCTATTTTCTGCACCTCTTCCTCCTTCTCGATCTGTAATCTGAATCTTCAATATATATCAATCTTCTCCATAATCATAAGAACCTTAACCCATTTAATGGGATATCTCCTATATATTTATTGAGAAGCATTTTTAGAGTATAAATTTGTAAGTTATTTACAATGATGATGTTTTGCTGATGTGTCATCACCAGAATCATTCTTAGCAAATATATAAAAATGGACTTATGTTACTAGATTAATTACAAATTCTACCTCGCACATTAATTTGATCATATAATAATTTATATCAATAATTTATACATAGTTCAGCATTTAATTATTAATAAATTCTCATTTTAAACTCCATATTTTCTCTCTTATTTTTGTTTAAATTTATGTCTGTAAAAAGATAAATCAACACATCATTCATATAATTTTTTTGTACATGTATTATAATTCAATTTGTAGAAAACAAATAAAAATTAATTAATTGATTAAATAAAATTTGAAAATATTATATATATAGAAAAAATAAATAAAAAATATTAGATCAATAGATGGTTCATAAATCATTATCATAAACATAAATAATATAATTATTTTTTTAAAGCAGGAATCTTAATTTAACAGATATTCATATGTATAAGTATTTTTGGTTTAATATAGATTTATAATAGAACCATATAAAATAATTCAAATAATATAAATATTTAAACTTGATTTAAATATTTAAAATATTATATCAAAAAGTGAAAATATAAAAATAGTTAAATGTATTAAAAAATATAATATCATAAATAATTAAGTTTGATTAAAAAGTTAAATATTATAAAATTTTTAATTTATGAAATAAATATAACTTAGTCAAAAAGTTAAAATATTATATAATAATTTAATCAAAAATATTAAAAATATTTTTTTGGTCAAAGTAAAATTTTTTATTTTGGATCAAAATGTTAAGAGTTTTGATGTAAGACTCAAGTCAAATGCACTTAGAACAAACAAAAAGTGGAGCCTTGGAGCTAAAGATGGTGCAGAACAATTTGTATCCGTGGAGAAAGGAGAGCTTGTAGCTGAGCTTGGAGCTGTTCAGGACCAAACCACCATACACCGTCGTTCTAGACATCACAAGGAGTCAAATGGTCGAGCCAAACCCCAACCGGTCCGAGCTAATTCTGAAGTTATTCCATCTAAACCGCCAAGACATCTTTTTTGACCTACATACACATATGGCGAGTTATATGAGGAAAGCACGACCTTACCTTATATTTTGGAGCATTTAGAAGATAATAATGAAGATAAGGAAGCTGCAAACCGGAGTCATTTCATTCAAATCAAGCCAGAACCACCAAATCTCTCTAAACCACCAAAAGGAGCAACATTGGAGCTAGTTAAGGAATCAAGGGATCATATGACATTTTATTCACCCCACCATCATATCCGACCACCAAGACATATTTCAAGATGTTCAAGACCAGAAAATCAACCTCTGAACCGCCCCAAACCAAGCCAAAACCAAGAAGATATCAAAGAAGAGCCACTTACCAAAGATAGAACCATTTTTGTTGATTCAAGGAGTAAAGAAGGCAAGGACGACCAAAGACTACATCATATCATTACTCTTGATCCCTCAGTCAAGCTACATGATCATACACATTCATTTCGACCTCAAGACCCCAAGATTTTCCCCTTTGACCGCCCCATTCAAGCATTATCACCTTTAAAGCCTAACAGCTAGGAGAATGAAGCCAAGAAGACAATCCCACATTTTATGCTTTTTCTTTACTTTGTTACCATTTTATTTCATTACTATTGAGCATTATATAAACTCCTTACTTCATGTATTTTCGTCACCCAAGTTATAATAAAAAAGAAGTTATTTTGTTTTCAAAGAAAGTGTCTCTTTGCATTACAAACTGTTCCTGCGATTTCTTTAAGTGTTTTTAGGATTCAACTTTATAGAATTTCGTGTAGAATCTCCTAAGCTCTTGTGAGGATTAGCCTTTGAGCTGAGAAGAGTCTAACCCTTGGTGTTTGAGGTCATCAAGCATCAACAAGGCTACAAAACCACCAGTCTTTTCTTCTATTCTATCTAGCTTAAAGCAATCTGTTCTAAGACACATTCCTTAAGCTTTTGAGGATTGTATCATTGGTATCAGAGATAAAAGCTCCTTATCCAGGTGTTTTCAGTTCCCTTCTCAAGTTTTTGATTTTTATTTTCGTTCATCTTTCCTTTCTTATAAAACTAAAAACCCACAAAAACTGTTTTAATTTTCATCTGTCTTCTGCGAATTTTATAAAATCCAAAACTCCATAAAAATTGTTTTTTCTTTTTGTTTAGGTTTATTTAATCTCTTAAAAACACAAAATATTATTTCCCAAAATTATTCGGATCATTTGATAATTTGTTTTGATTTTTTCAACTCAATTGGTCAAATCCGCTTAATTCTGTGTTCTTCATTTTGTCCGAATTTTATAAAATCCATAAAAACTCAAAAAATTAATTTCTTTTTATTTATGTTAAATTAAACCCTTAAAAACAACAGAAAAATTGTTTTTTGAATTTTTCAAATCATTTGATAATTTATCTTTGATTTTTCATTCAACTGCTAAACAGCCTGAAAACTGTTCTTGTGTTCTTGTGATTTACCTTGAACAAACTTTGATCTTTTGTACTTGAATATTATTTGCAAGGTACTAGATGTAAGATCCACCACCAGTAGACCCAATGCAGGCAATGATGGCCATGATGCAAACACAATTCGCAGCCATCAACGAAAATCTTGCCAACCTCAATGCCAATACCCAAGCCACTGCTGAAAGGTTAAATCGCTTGGAGAATCCAGCACATCCTCCACATCTATTGCCAAGAAGAAACATTCCAGGAGGTCAACAAGATGCAATTCGTGTAGAGGAGTCCCCTGATGTACCACCACGAGCACCAGACCCTGTACAAGCTGCCCCAGACATTTTAAATAGGAAAAATGTTGATCGCAACAGGCCATACCAAGAGGATAGAAACTTGCCACCAGAAGTCAAGCTTGCTGCTCCAAATTTTGCAGGAAAGATTGATCCAGCCGCCTACCTAGAGTGGGAAAGAAGGATGGAACATTTGTTTGAGTATTACTCTTACAATGAGCCAAAGAAGATGGCCCTAGCAATTGCAAGTCTCACTGATCATGCCTTAGCTTGGTGGGACAGAGAAACAGCTGAAAAGAGGAGACTAAGATATCCTCAAATCAGCAGATGGGCAGACATGAAATTTGAGCTACAAAAGAGGTATGTTCCCCCTCATTATCACAGAAATTTACTAAAAAGATTTAGGTCTTTGTATCAGGGAACCAAGAGTGTAGAAGAATACTTTGAAGAATTTGATGTTCTAAGAAGTAGGCTGGAGTTAGAAGAATCAGAAGAGTCCCTCATGTCACAATTCATGGATGGCTTACAAGAGAGGAAACAAAGAAAGGTGGAAATGCAGCCTTACCACTCCTTACAAGAACTTCTCCACTTGGCCATTCAAAGAGAGCAACAAATCAAGAAGAAAACCTCTACTATAAGAGGCTCAAGCAACAATACTTGAAATCAACAACAAGCTCAACAAACTCAGCAGCAACAGCAG